AGTTAGTGCTAGGGGTTAAGCACTGTATAAGTCTCTCATGTGAGAGAACATGAGATGAGATTGTTCTTTTGGAGAGAACATGAGATAGTGGTCATGTGTGTGAGGCTTAGAGATAGAGATATGATGGATTTCTCTTGTACTATTATACCTAGTCGTAATTCATTTCTCATCTTGCTCAATGGTTATAGTTCGAACTTGGTCAACTGAACCATATAAATCTCGATGTTCTTCTTCTTAATTGTTATTTTTATGTCCTGCGAACTTGTTATTTGATCTGTCGGTTGTAGAGATTGAAATTCAGGATCTTGAATACCCAACACAAAACTGCGCGTATAGCTTTTTTAAAACTTAAGTTTTAGAGGAGGGTGTTTCTTAAAAGACTAGAAGAATAGGTGTGGAAGAAGGGGGGTGCTTTATGTAGTTTATTCTAAAAACAAGATAAAAACTTGAAATAGAAACAAAATAAAAACTTTGAATAAAAATTTCTTACCACATTTCCCTTGATTTATAACAGGGTTTACGGCACCCTTGGTCCTCCAATCCACACTAGATGAGATATCTGAAACATTGAGCTGTTCCGTAGTAGTCTCATACTTGATGGACCTAAGGGACTCCATAAAATCTATTTCTGGTTTCATTAATCCACCGCTATAAATAGCTGTAAACTCTTCTGTGGTAAGATCAGCAAACTCATTGAGGCCCAGAGTATAGTTGTACATTCTAGCATTATTAAAATCTTCTATAAATTTTAGATTGTCCTTGAATATTTCAAGTCGTCGAGCTCTCTCAGCTTCATCCTCATAGATTCGTCCATGCTCAGCCATCCACTGCTCATGCTTTCTAGCTATTGCAAGATCACCAACTTCTTTATGATCATTAGTCGCAGCACAGAGCGTTGCAATAAGCAAGAAAAGGACAAGAGTCGAATGCCATATTGTTGCACAAGTCATTCTATTAGATTTTTAATTGTTCTGTCTTTGGTGTGATTTTGGGAGTGAGCTAAAGACTGCATTTATACCCGAGCCAGTGGACGTTGTATAACTATGATATTAAATCCGAGGGGACCCACAAGAATTGGTTGAATATTTATTAGAGCCTTAATTGCCTTAACAAGACAATATCTCTTTCTTTATATGTGATGAGAAATTGACGTCTTTCTTAAAGAAATAATAAATTGACATGTATCATCTAAGTACATGACATGTATCATATTAAATAATAGCATTCAGTCCAACCTATGAAAAAAAAACCTCGAGCCCTTCTATTCTATCAGATGATGACACTTGGATATCAAATATGATTTTCACCTAATTAAAAATCTTCATTAAATTAAAACTATTAAGAATTACAAAATTCTAATAGTAAAATATTTGATAATATTATTCAATTATAACTACCCGTAACGAAAAAAAAAGTCTCATAATCATCTCTCTCTTTCACATGCATATTTTTAGACTAATCCAAAGGCTCAAAAATATGTCATGCGTTAAAAAACTACCATGTGTTCATCTCTCGTATTAAAAATTGACATGTAAACACCTAATTCAATCTTCACTTAAGAATACTAATCAAATTAAAATAATCAATAAGCAAAAACTTTTAACAATCAAAACCCTCTCTTGTAATCATCTTTATTAAAGAATCATTGTCAAGTTAAAACTATCCCTAAATTGAAATTCTATTAACCAAAGACGTTCTTAATATAATTTTTTTTTTCTAGATTAGTAAATTCTCAAGAACCTCTTCAAAAAATCTAAAAATTACAAATAACCCCTAAAAATTCTAAAATTTCAAACTTGTTTCTAAAATCCAAATTTTAGAAACAACCTCTTGATAACTCTAAAATTTCAAATAGGCTCATTACAATATCAGAAGTTTCCTAACAACTACTTAAGATTTAAAAACTTCGAATAAACCCCTAAAAAATTTTAAAACTTCAAATAGGACCATGAAATTTTAGAAATTATAAATTGCCCCTTTTAAAATCCATAAATTATTAATAATTCCTGGAAAATCTAAAAACTACAAAAAGTCATATAATAAATTAAAAAATTACAAGTAACCCTTTGAAAATTTATAAACAATCCTTTAAGAGTTTTACAACTAGCCTCTTGAAAGTTTTAAAAATAATAAATATCATACTAAACATTCTACAAACCACCCATTTAAAATTTTACAACTAGATTCCTGAAAAGTGTTAAAATGGCAAATACCTCACTGAGAGTTTAAAAATATTATAAAAACTTTCTAAAAGCTTACAAATGACCCCTTGAAAGTTTTAACTTATAAATACACCACAAAAAATATAAAAA